TTTGCAGCGTACGCATCGAGAACCCACAAAAATGTATAAATTTCCCCCATTTTTTCCACACTTTCCGCTTTTTGATCGCACCTATCCGTCACAGCGCGATATTTTATAGCTAATATACCTCCTCGATAAATACTCTAACGCTCTAACAAACACAAAAGGATTTTACAATTCGAACCTAGTTCCTGCGATTAGCGCGTTCAAACAAACAAACTCTTTACCTGTTTATATTAGTATAGATGTGGCATAGCTTCTAGTGTAAGTACACCTTTACTAAGAGGCAAGTGCCACATCATAAGTCAGTTCATAATTCAATAAGCCAAGAAAATTATTCAGTCGACAAGTTTCAGCGGAGCACTATCTCCATGAGACAACTGTGGCCAAACTAACTTAAACATTTGCATCAAATGCTGTATAGTGTATTCGATGAAGTTGGTGAATACTATTAGTATTTGCGTATTCATTTTATAACTAGCTGTGCCAGCGAAATCGTCCGCGTAGAATAATTACTTTGGGCATCCAAATTTCTTTTTGCAAACTGTCTACATACTGTCTATAGTTTACGCGAGTAGTACACATTTAAATAAAACACTTTAACGGTTTAAAACGCGATATATTAGTTAAACTTATTTGAAAATGATTTTTAACTTCGGCCCGACGTTTCGGATGCTTTGCAGCAGCCGTGGTCACGGGGAGACCCCTCCGTGGTCCCTCCGTGGTCCCTCCGTGGTCCCTCCGTGGTCCCTCCGTGGTCTCCCCGTGACCACGGCTGCTGCAAAGCATCCGAAACGTCGGGCCGAAGTTAAAAATCATTTTCAAATAAGTTTAACTAATATATCGCGTTTTAAACCGTTAAAGTGTTTTATTTAAACTGTCTACATATTTATAAATTTAACCTGCCTAAGACATCGGTCGAGTCCCGTCGCTCGCGACCCATCGTTCGGGTCCCGTCGACTTTGTTTTGGATCACACAGGATTTTTTTTAGATTAAAGAGGAATCATTATCTCATACATATTTTTTTACTATCCTGAACCGTTTGAAAACTTTATTATTTTTTACATGTTATTGCACATGAAGGCACTATATAATTTAAAAATCGAAAGTATAGAGAGCAACAGCACGTAACGCTGACGATGCCGGTTCAAGTCCTGCCCGAGTCGAAATTTTTTTCAATTTATTTTATATTATCTTGAACCGTTATTGCAGCGTAGGCCTCGGAAATCTATAATGATGAATAATTTTCCCAATTTGTTTCACATTTCTCGCTGTAATTTCGCTTGTATTGGTCACAGGGCGACGTTTTGTAGCCTATAGCCTAACTCGATAACTTTTTAAACACGAACCCGTAGTTCCTGAGATTAACACGTTTATACAAACAAACACACTCTTCAACTTTATATATTAGTATAGATATGACTTATTCAAAGATGATTAGCAGTGCTTAATTATACGATTGCAGATTATATGTCTGTGTAAATTTTTAAAACAGATTAGTGTCTATAACAGGTATATAAATATTCACCCACAGGTTAAGATATAAAATCAAAGGACAGTCTTTGTTTGTGTTTACCTTCAATCTCTGTTTTTTTAAATCTCGGTATTCAATTCTATGTAACGAACTCCATTCTGAACACAAAAATCTCACTTTCTGAGCGTTTCTTTCCTTCTCTCCTATCTTTTAAAAGGCTCCTTACAAACAATTTCTGATTTTTTGGCATCTGAATAAGTTGGTCACTATCTATTAATTTTTTACGTTTCCCAGGATAAGTTTAGTAATGGTGTGTATTTTTTGGTTTGAAATATTTTTAAGATCGTATATTTTGTTTCGCCCATCTTGCATATCTTGTTTTACCGTAACTTTTCTCCTCTTCCATCTTGGGTTGCTTGGAAGAGATCGCTTGTTAGCGATAAGGCTGCCCATATTACTGCATATATTTTTGTATATAAACCTCGTTTAGATTATATTTTCACTTTGCAATATGCGTTAATGTACAACATAGAAAACACCAGTGCAAGGGCCTAGTCTCACAACGTAATTCCCTTCCTCGTAAATCAAATTCTCGAAGCAATCCTGTCTCGTGGGTTAGCAGCGAGGTAGCACTTGCAGTGCCTTGATATGCAGATTAAATGGGCCTTGCGGCCGGCCGACATTAATCCGAATCTCCCGTAATCTTGACGCGAGATGTCGCTTTAAGGGCAGGTATTAAAGACCATTAATTTTACAACACAATATAGTACTTAAGTAATAAATAAACATATCTAGCTTTACTATAAAATATATTATACTTGCAGGTGTATTAATTCACGTGGTACAAATGTAAAGTTACATAAGCTGTGCAATTTTAGACAAATTATAGATATTGTCATAAATCATACAAGCTTCTTAGCTTTAATCTTTAAACATTTCCCTACGAGAAAACGCATGTATATGATTTTAAACGTTTTATTAACGCCATTCCAAAGAAGATTATAGAAAATGGGAATAGTTTTTTATAACTACCTCACTGAATTTGTTTAATTAATAAGCTGGTAAAATAAAAAACCTATAATATACATATTATATAAAAATGAAATAATATCTAATTAAAAGTAATAGATTTTTTAAGCTTATTTAAATAAAACACATTTAACGATTTTAAAAGCGAAACTTATTACTTAACTTATTTACAATTCATTTTAATTATGGCCCGACATTTTCGATGCTATAGAGCAGCCGTGATGACGGTGGGGCACGTTTTAAACGTTTAAAAAAGTTCTTATTAGTCGTATAAACTACAGACATTACTTAACATAGACATAGGGATATACAATCAGTAATGACTGCTTCTAAATAAAATAAGGAAGTGCTTCGCCTTAACAACTCGGTGTAGTGACCATCGTCACTCAAAAGCACTTAGAAGCCAAAGCAGAATATAATATTAAAATTTAATTTTATTGAAATTAAATACACCATTAGTATTCATCGTGTAACAGATATAACTAAATGTGACCGATTCGTCCGCATATAAGTTATTTCCTAAAATAGGGGATGGTAATCTAAGCAATATAAAGCCATCTAAATTGGCCGAACCGTTCGAATGTTGTACGAAGATGCGTGCGTAGGCGATTGTTTTGTGTATATTAAGATTATTTATTAAGATATTTAAAAAACATACCATATCTGTGTGTTATAAAACATGTAAATCTGTATATATATATATGGTTCGTAATATTACGATTTACATTGACATATATATGTATATTTTAAAATACTAAGTATTGCAATTTAACTTTTAGCAGTTTAAGATAAGGTAAATATGGAAAACGCTTGTTACCGCTAAAATATAGTTTATTTCTAACATAGAATGAAACGGAACGGAATATGAAATCACTTAATAAATCGGGTTAACACTGGTTTTAGTTTTCTAGGAAAAGAATTTCTACGTTTTATTCAAGCATAGCTTCTTGAAGAATTCCTTGACATTAAATAAAATCTGTCTAATAAAGGTCATTCAATATTCTCTACATTCGACAAAAAAACTATTACGTAATTCGGAATATTATTTTAGTATTACATAGCTTATGTATTGGGGAAAGCTTAATATAATAACTGCCTATTTATCTTATAAGTTTAATTATATATTAAATATAGTAGCGTAACTAAAGTAGAACTCGAAGTAGTATCTTAATTCTTTTCTGAGCAAACTTAGTGTCTACAAGTCTTGGCAGTTTTAGTGGATAGGAGGGTCGTGGGGGGACAGATAATAAAATAATATAGTATGTTCTTGAAAAAATTGCTACCACACCGCATAAAAGCTAACTATCTGATAAACAGACAATTTAAAATCATGAAGATATAAACACCAAGATATCATTAACAACAGACGCTAACTAAATATACAATCACTTGGAACTTCCAACTCGAGCGGTGATAACGAAGTTAAAATGTTTCAGGCAAACTGAAACAAATTGACTATCTGCTTAATATTCCAATTCTGTACCTCTTGAAACTTACAGCCGAACTAGGTGTTTATTGGTGGTATTAAACTTATTCTTATTAAATAAAACACTTTTAACGGTTTAAAGAATTGGTGTCATTCCCTTAATACGGGGATGGGGTCAACATATTTTTATGTCCTTTTTTTTCACGCAAGTTTAATCATACTTCTGTGCTACTGTCGACCTATTTTGACTTTGGATATTCGAATATCTGACTGAAGCCGGAACGCGATTAAAATTCACAGCTTTTTCATCTATGGACGGTCACAAAACAACCATTTTATATCTAAATTTCAAGATGAACTTTAACATGTTTCAGAAAAATTATAGATTGATAAGTAATTAACCATAGTAATTCGTTGCTACCATTATACTATCGAGACCGTCATTCAAACCTATGACCAAAAGCAAGCAACTTGTTTAATCGTTATGGCTTTAAAGTGGTCGCCAGAATCTTTTTTATTAAGCACTGCGTTTTAAAACCCTACCTACAATTTTAACAGTTTAAAACGCGAAATGTATTAATCTTCCTGTAACCATGGCTGCTGCCAAGCAACCGAAACGTCGGGCCATTAAATAACTTGTAGTTAACTAGGATATTTCGCGTTTTAAACGGTTAAAGGGTTTTATTGAAATGTCTACTACTCGCGTAAACTAAAGACAGATTCCTTATACCAAGTCCATACCCGTTAGGTAGAAACTCTAATAAACCTATGTTCTTTTAAAATCACGGAGTGTATAAACATATAACGACAAGACCCAGTCTTTTATCGGATAAACGTTTTAACGAGCTCTAATGACCAAGTCTTATTATATCCGCGAATCCCTATGCATGCAGAGGCCGGCCCTCAGTCAGTCTCGTGTATCATCTTTGATAACACAAACTGTATTACGCTTTTATATTCGCAAAACTATAAATAATAGTGCGCAAACACGTGTGTTATCTGTGAACCAATAATACGAATGTTGTATAATCTGTGCAATCAAAATTGTGTTATTGTATTATCTGGAGAACGTTGAAAAAATGTTCATCAAAAACGAGAGAGATAAGTTCTTGAAGATAAAAACCCGATTGATTTTCGCAAAGACTTTCAAACACAAAGTCGTGATATTAGCCACGTTCTCGCTTATTTATCTAATTATTCTAATCGTTTTAATAAACACTTGGTTCGCGAGGAACGTGGAAACGAAATCACTACTCAATTTGCCAAATGTGGTCGTTCATATCGATCTTAAGGGGTCGCCGCCTAAAATCTCGTATTTGAAGAGTCTCTTGCCCAAATTTAAGGAATTTGGGGTGACAGGTTTGCTGATGGAGTACGAAGATATGTTTCCGTATGAAGATAAATTGGTGAATTTAAGCGCTAGGAATTGTTATGAAAAATCTGAGGTAAACATTTTAATAAAACATTTTAATAGATCGGGCTAGTAACGCGAATTATAATAGTAACTTGCACTGAAGATGAATCCTCATGTCCTTATGTCACTTAGTCAAAGTAAAATTTACTACACTAGCGCCATCTGTCTTATTATAGTTGGAATTTGGAGACCGTTTCTCTTCCGCACTTTCAGAATTTTTTCTTTATAGCTGACCCGACAGACCTTGTTTTTCCATATAAAATATTTGCAAAGAATATTGGTAAAATATAAATTACCTTATTGTATGCGATAATGTTATAAAGAGCTGTGCCCATGACAGAAAAATTATAGAAACATTCTCAGGCATAACAAATCTATTTACAAAATGTCATTCAAATCAATTAAACGGGTAGTAAAAGTTTTGTCGCACAAACACTGCGGCAAAAGAATTGTTGTATATGAGTGAAATCCTATAGAGATATGAAAATACATAGTTTAAATTAAATGTTTTATTTTCACATAAGCATGCCTGTAATCAAAGTGATATTATGACTTGACCATAACATCTATATTACTCTATTATATTATAATTAGATTTAATTTTAGGCTTATTTTTTGTACTAGTAATTCATTACGCATTGTACTAATCAATTATTTTATTATTACAAATACAATTTCCTGCAATTTCTTATTTTAATATTAAATAGTTCCTGCATACGTAACAAATCAGTTTTTAAAAGTAATCGCATCACAATCTTTCTATTTTCAGTTATTCCAATTCATATCACTGGCAACACACATGGAGATTGAGGTTATTCCTTTGATACAAACTTTTGGGCATATGGAGCATGTGTTGAAATTAAAGGAATTCCAACATTTGCGAGAGATGCCCCTCTACCCTGACTCCATCTGCCCCAGCAGACTGGAGAGTCAAGATTTGATTAAGAATATGATTGAACAGGTAAAGTAACAATGGAAGTAACAATTTAGGAATAACGAATAAGTACTGTCTTTAATTTACGCGAGTAGTACATTTAGATAAAACTTTTTTAACCGATTATAATGTGAAATATAGTTATTAACTTGTACTGAAGATGAAACCCTTATGTTCTAATGCCTTTATGTCAAAGTAAAAATTGCTACGCTAGCTCCAACTGTTTAGTCGTAGTTGGTATTTTTAGCCAGTTACTCCCCCGCTCTAACGTGCAATTTTCTTTCGAAATATCGGGTTAGGAGGTTACTTAGGAGTAAGTCAACTATTAAATATATTTCGCATTTCAAACCATTAAAAGTATTTTATTTTAAATATGAAAAATCCTCTTAATAATCTTTTTGTTAAGACATTTCTAAGCCTAGCAAGTAATTTAATTCTTGTGTTTAAAATAATAATGTTTTCATGTATACGAAGGCAGTTTTAACCATATTTTCGTCCATTCTAGGTAGCAAATTTTCACAACGATATAACACCCCTGAAACAATTTCACATTGGATGTGACGAAGTTTATCATATGAATAAATGCCATTTGTGTACCAGAAATGGATTGAAAGATTCGTGAGTATAGTACTCCGTTATATTTGCCACTCTATTCCTATTTTCAGTTAGTTTATCGTGTTTGTTGTAACCTGATATTACTAAAGGCCGGTTTCACTACTCGTCCGTCAGACAGTGCGTACTGTGTTTTACGTCAGTGGCGCTTCTCTTTGTTTGAAAATACGCTTACATATTTTGAGTCTAGTTGACTAGTGGTTTTATAACAAGCTCAATGGTTCACCTCTGAACCGGCCTAAAGTTGGTCCAATGACTACAAATTATAGACAAAAATAATATTATAACAAAATATTGACACAGTACCTCAATTGGTTAGAGCAGTAGCTCGGAACGCTGTGAATGTGGGAGCAAGCCCCGCCCGTATCGTAAAATTTATTTCTAATTAGGTTTTTAAATTAAAAGCTACTACTTATTGTTGTCACCTCTTCTTTATGTATTTATTGAACATTTATGTTCAAAAAAAATTTTACAAATCTAGTCTGAAAACGTCATTTTAAAGTAACTTTTGTACAATTATTTGACGTTATCCTTCTCCAATTTGCAGAGAGATCTTCGTCCGGCACGTAAAAATGGTCACCAGTTTATTAAAAAAGATCAGTCCCAATACAACCGTCCTAATCTGGGATGATGGTCTGCGGGACATCCCCGTATATAAATGGAACAACATTGTAAAGGACCTCCATATTGAACCCGTTTACTGGGACTATCGGCCCAGTCTATCGATATCCCACGTTAATCTAATGAAGTATTACGATACATTCCAAAATATTTGGGTAGCTTCCGCGTTCAAGGGTGCAGATGGCCGAATAGCAACGTTTCCAGATTTAAAGAAACGCTTCCTCAACAATTTTAGCTGGCTCAGCTTGATGCATGGCTACAAGTTCGGTGGCAGAAGCGAAGTGTATAAATTTAAAGGCGTAATACTAACTGGTTGGTCTCGATACAGTCACATGGACGCTCCGTGCGAATTACTTCCTCTTTCAATACCCAGTCTGTTCTTGAACTTACTTTTAATCAGACATTTTAAGGATTTCGGATATTCCGATGAAGATGAAAAGCTTAGTGTACATCTTTACTTTAACAAATACCTAAAAGATGATTTCAAAAATGCGCTAGTATGTCCAACAGTGAACATTGAATATCTAGATGTGTCATACTGTAAGTTTGATGGCAAAGAAGTATATAATATTCATAAGCATTTAAGTATGATTTTCGCAGATATATCTTATAAGCTAAATGACGAGGAAACCGGTTTATCAGCGGTTGATTTCTATTCTAAAACTCACAATGTCAACTTGAATAATGTCGATAAGGACTTGGAATGGACAAACACAACAATAAAGGAAATGTTGGAAGCGGAAAATATATTAAGGCACAACCTGAAACAATATTATGACGTGTCCTTTATAAATGAATACGTTAATTATAAATTGTATAATTGGAAATTAATATTGTATAACTTGTCTAAAAAGCTAAATGTAATGTTACGAAATCGAACTTGGGATAGAAGACCGTATGTTCTCTAAAACTTCCTCTACTTTAACAAAGCCTAAATTTTCTAAATATATAAATAGTAAAACGGGTTTTTCATGGTTTTCCATTTTCAATCAAAAATTATGTATAACTTAAATGATTAATTGCATAGACTAATGTGTATTTTGTTATTTCTATTACTTTAGTCGGTCTTCTACAACTTATCCTTTGTTAATATCAAGATAAGCAAGCAATGAAACTAACGCATGTCCATTTATTTAACGTCATCTCTGAAGAAGCCTCATGAGTATTAATGAATATTTTATCTTGCCACAAAGACCATTCTCTAGTCTACGGCAATCAATCAGTCGTAATGCCCTGAAACAGTGTCCAAGCACGGCACTTCACACGTTTGAAATAAATACATTTATCCAACTGAATAAGGGATTGTATTCTAATTTTATGTTGTACATATTTTTTATCATAATAAGATAAGTTTAAGAAGTCAAAAGGAATGTGTAAATGAAATGAATATGTAATTCATACATACAGGAATTTTCCATCCTTTTGACTTAAACATAGTCTAAAAGTAGCCTGGTGAAGGAACTGTAATTTTGTATTTGGGTGTTTATTACATACTAAACATACGCGATGTAATTTACGCGAAACGTACATATTGAAATAAAACACTTTGACCGTGGCTACAAAGCACCCGAAACGGCGAGCCGTAGTTAAAATAATTTGTAAATAAGTTAACATTAGCGTTTTATAACGTTAGGCGTTCTATTTAAATACTGTAATATATACTGTCTATAGTTTACGCGAGTAGTACACATTTAAATAAAACACTTTAACGGTTTAAAACGCGATATATTAGTTAAACTTATTTGAAATTGATTTTAACTTCGGCCCGACGTTTCGGATGCTTTGCAGCAGCCGTGGTCACGGGGAGACTAATATATCGCGTTTTAAACCGTTAAAGTGTTTTATTTAAATACTGTAATATATATTTAAATAGCAGCAAAATGTATATTCTAGAATGTAGGAATGATCGGCTTAAACGCGATCGTGCGATTTATTCCAATCTAAATTAACCAAATAATTACATGCTGTAAGAGTACTTTTAATATGATCTGAACGAACATTAAACACATTTGAAAGCCTTTTATCAATCATCGTGTCAAAGAGAAGCATTTTTTACTCTGCGGTTTGGCCGCTGAAATTTTCCAGACCAGCGTTCAGGCGGATTACTGGCCTGGGCCACTCGGTAGCGTAATTAAATTGTTCACAAAGCTTTTGACTCCCCCACGTCACTTCCATTACAGGCTCCGTGTTGGAAAAATATTGTCAAGCGTTTCCATTCAGTCGGGTGACGTCGGGATATTAACTCCTTTGAGCACGTTTTATATTTTATCCACACTCTATCCATTTAACGATGGCTTATACGCCTGATGAATAAAGGCTCATGTTAAAACTATATTTTATTCAATCGTGACACGAAATAGTTTCGGCCACTGTATACAATAAAACAGGGACTTTTTTGATACAAGATAATAATATTGTGATTATTTAAGTAAGATTATAAGTAATTAAAATAAAACCAACATTAAATATATAAACATTTTATTAACTCGCCAAACAATCATCAAAAACGTCTAAGCCTTACAATACTGTAAACTTACCAAACTACCATAAAACTAAATAAAAAACATTTCCTTAACAATACACTGTTTATCTGTTTTTCGCATCATCCGTACTTTTATTCTCATCGGAGTCCTTGATACCTTTATGTACTGGAGCTATCTCTACGGGTGGTGGTGTTATCGGTACCAGACTACCGTCTTCCTCGGCAACCTTCAATCCAATTGTAGCTCCTAATTTGGCACTCGCTTGCTTAAACGTATCGGACAATTTCACTTGTACTACATTAATACACATGGAAGTCAAGGCTAGACCGAAAACTAGATACAAAATGGAAGCCATCATGAACATAGGATGATCTGGAACTAAATCTCCAAGACCTATAGTGGACATAGATACAAAGACAAAGTAGAATGATTCAAAGAAGTTCCAAGTCTCCCATATACTGTAACCTACAGCTCCAATAATTATATAAATAATAAGAATTACTATAGCTACGGATATAGGTAAATTGAATTCATCGTCTATTTCAAAAACAGAAGGGGCTGGTGTGTCGGGTTCACCGTCTTCTAGGGGTTTTTGGTTTCCTGGTTTTGGTGGTAGCGGGGGTGGGACATCGCTTGGTTTTCTTTCAATCGCTGGTGGTGCCTGTGTCGATGTCTCTATGTCCTCCTCGGAAAATATCTGAGACGGTCGTCGGACAACGTCGTAAACTATATTCAGGCCTTTCATTACTTCCTGAAATTTCAAAGGAAGCAATTAGCGAAAGTAGAAAGTGATTTAGGGTTACCCTACTCTAATATTAAATAATATATAAAATAATTTGTTCATAAAATAAAATTCAATGTTAAAACGTTATAATCCGCCGTTAATTTAACCGTTTTTGATTGTTTGATAAGTAATATAAAACAGTATATAAAGTTCAAATAACTTTATATACTTTATTATAGCTAATACACAGATATTTAAATTTATTTTTGAAATCAGTTTCACTCGGATAGAAAGGCAGGCAAATTAAAATATTTTATACTAACCTGAACAGGCGCCGTCCTTCGAACTTGTCTACAACTTCTGGTGTAATAAAAGCGCCGTATAAAGGCCCAGAAGAACTTTATGATCCTCGTGAACAGTTTGCCGAAGTCAGCTAAGACAATAAGGAATAGTGGTATGCCAATTATAGCGTAGACTATAGTCGCAACGCGGCCGTACGTCGTCTTCGGTGCTATGTGACCATAACCTAAAATAAAAGAATAAATTCAGATTACAAAGTTAAATTTGCATAATTCTACATAGGGGTAAATAATAAAAAGAACTTTCATGATATTATCAGTTTTAATTACATATTATTCAAAATAAAAACTGAGTATAAATTGAAAAAAAAATTACGACTCGGGCAGGTCTCTACCGGGATCGTCAGCGTTCCGTGCTGTTGCTCTAACTAATTGAGCCACCAAGTCCTACACGTCATCGTCGATTTTTTTCAATCTATTGATAAATGCACCTCTCGCGCACATATTATTCTACGATCTTGAGGATTACCCTTACCAATAGTTGTGATTAAAGTCAAACAGTAGACAAATGAATTCATGAAATTCCACGATCTCTGGCCGCTGTATGAGGTCACTCCAGCTTCGTGGGCGGTATGCAATTGATCCTCGAATTCATGTAGCTTCTTTCTAGCCATAGACTTCCAATCTTCTTCCCTAAGGTAATGACTTCCGCGCCATAGATTCTCGATAAAATCACGCTTAACATTCCTAGCGTTGCATTTGAAAGCGTTCTCAAACGTTCCTTCTAACGATTTAAACATCATTCCTCCCAAACCACACATTATTATCAGAATTAATAAATCACAAATACACTTATTTCTTAAAATTATTAAACTCTGCCAATCATTATGGTATTCCAATTTAAACTGTCGCCAATTATTAATAAATTTAAATCTCGACAATTTTGGTTCTTGTTTGTTTTTCACACATTTTTTAGTATCGTTTTCAGTTATCGTTTTTTCTATACTTTCTTCTTTTGTATGTAATTCTGATTTTTTTTGAGTATTGACTAATGATCGTTTTCTTAAAACAGATTTCGGTTCGTTTTCATCTTGTTCTAAGTCTACTTTTATAGATACATCATGCTCTTTAACTACTTTTTGACTAAGTTGATTAAGTTTTCTCGTTAATTCAGCAGTTTTATCTAAAAGATCAAATTCGTATTCATTTTCACTTGGTGATGTGGAGTAACAACTAGATGTGTATTCAGATTGACTAGCATCGATGTAACCCGAACTTTGCCTACTGTGCTTTTTACCCCTAACTTCTGGTTCAGTTGGGCTAAGAGATGTAAGCCCTGAGAGAATCTCTCGATTACTTATTATTTGAATTGTTTTTGGACATGATATTCCTCTTGTTCTTCTTAAATTAACCGGTGTTTTATTGGGTGTTTGGAGAGTTCTGCTATAGTTGTTATAATCACATGGCGATCTAGGATCGTCTTTTGGAATCGACAAACTTTTAGCTCGAGCTTTTTGCATCAGTTCTAAAATTTCTAGACTAGTTTGGCTCATTCCTGTGCCGGTTTTATCTATAACTTTAACATCTTCTACTCTATTTACTGAGCGAGACCTGTTATCTCTAAGAGCTTTATTTTTCATAAAACGCCTCGGCGTTGGCACTATTTTTCGTCTGGCTCCGCTTGTATTTAAATTCTGATGATAAAATTGATCCTCACTCAACTCACTCTCACTGGTTTTATTCTGTAAATGTTATTATGAATTAATAATAATTTACAATTATTTCTTTAGTTATTGCATGTATCCATCACTTTAGCAATAAAAAGTATAATATTATTGATAAAATTAAAATCACAAGAAATAATAATTTGATATAAGAACTGACCGCCAAACGTGATGCTGATTTGCTTCTTGCTGGTTTTTCTGGTGGCACCTTATTTTGTGAATCAGAAACAGGTGGCCTAACTTGTTTTATTACCGTTGGTTTAGCGTCAGCTGTCAGTTTTTTACTAGGCGTTCTCACGACTCTTTCTCTTACTTCTACTACAGGTTTCTGGTCTTGATTTAATTTTTTACTTGGTGTTCTCTCCACCTGTATGACCCTAGTTACTAGCTCACCAGTTGTTGGAATCTGTGACTCAGATCCTTTTATCGAGGTTGATATTTTCACAACTGTTTCATCTCTGTCTTTCGGTATAATTTCTGGTTTAGCTTCTGTTCGCGGTGGCTTGGGTCTATTTATCAGTTTCTTATCAGTTTTTTCATCGGGATAAATAATTTCTTCGAGCTTTTTTGGTGAAGTAGGCATTGGGAAGGGAAACCCTTTTTCTATTGGTGAGGTACCTGCAGTGCTTGGAGGAGATAGGGAACTTCTAGAATCTTTTATCATTGACTCTATGTATATGTTAAAGAATTTCGCCGATGAGAATCTTCGTCTTTCGGGCTCATAATATAATTTGTACTTAATAATTTGTTTGTTGGATCAATAAAGCTACCCTTGCGCTGCAAGTTAGTGCCTCCTTCTTCTTTGTCGGGTACAGCAAATGGTGAAATACTTCTTCTTCTTCTTTCACTTGCTTCTATAGCCCGAGCTTCTCGAATTTCATCAGAATTTAAGTCATAGACTGGATCTTTTTCACCAGCCTTTTCTTGAACCATACGTATCATTTCTTCGTAAGTATTATCAGCCTCAATTTCACGAGAGGTCCTCTGTGGATGATCTTCGTCATCCGAGGTAGGTGTATCTTCGTGAGGTGCAAACGTTCGCCCTGGTTCAGGAGTTTTTTCACGTTGTCTCGCACTTTGTCCTCTATTTTTTGAGATATTACGTCGCTTTCGAATAGATATCGGATTTTCAGTAACGTCTTCCATTTTTATCTGCCTTGCTGGTGATTTTCTTATAACAATGTTTGGTGTCTGCGTCTCCGATTCTGTTTTTAGCACGGGAGCTTTCAAGGTGATATGTATGGGTACGTCGCACTCATCACTCATAGCTTCTAGTTATCGATAACGTAGCCTGAAAAATAAAAACAAAACCTCGTTTATAACTCTACCGATTGAGGACTGAATTATATGATAGGCGAAAAACGATTTTGGCAAAGGGTACTACGACGTGTGCCAATGAGAGTGCGATGACAGTAAGGTGCATAGAAAATATGTTTAGCATGAGAAAATAATAGACTTACCATTTCGGATCCGCAGTTAGAATAAGCTTGATCACTATCGGGGTCACAACATTCTAATTAAAGAATCTATTTCTATTTTCACTATTACGCTTACAAAACTGCCGCAAAATCAAAAAGTATTGTGTTTTATGTATTATTTAGTGGTGTATTATGATCATTTAAATAATATTCGATTAAAATAGCTGTCGATTTTTTTCGTAAATAAGAAACGTTATATGCGCGGGAGCACTACGCGAAAGTGCGCCAAGCGTTCCGGGCAAAGTTCCAAAATTAAACAGCTGCTTGCATGTGTGTGTAACATTGACTAAATCTACTGTATTGTGATTTTTATGAAAACGTGTTATGAAATATTGAAAACCTTTTCTATGTTAATTTTACTTCAGAGGCAGTTATTGTTATATATTAAAGCCTCCCTTCATGCGATTTCGTCCGTAACAAATATAATTTGAATTGATGGAAAAAAATTGTTGTTTTAATGAAATTATTTCATCCACAATTAAAATTAGCGAAATTAGATATTATTAAACTTGACTGACATATTTAGTACAAGATTATATACCAGAATCAAATTATACAGTATTGATTTATTCAGGTTTATGTAAGAATTTTCAATTTAAAAGAAGCAAATATTATTTTATAGCAACTAAAAGTAAATAAAAGAATGAAGTAAAGATTTAAAAAGTACTTGAAAACGTTATTGTTCTCACAAAATACATTTTTCGTTCCGGAATGAACGAGAACTTTTAAATCGTCACTAAAACTGTCTTTTTACGACACAACCAGATTGTTGCGACGTATCCGACAAAAAATCTCATCTGCACTCTCGATACATTGCTATTTCGTTCGGAAAAACAGTTTCAAATTTACTTTTGCTTTTCCTACGCCTTAAGAAAATATTTGTAACAGAACGGGAGAATTGCTTATTATAAATAGTAAGGCGTCAATATTTATATGTATACAAGAACAATGTTAATTTTGGTAGTGCTTGCGTATTTACCCAAAAACAAGGTAGATTCACTTTTTGTCGGTTTATTATGTCATTGTAATTAAGTCTACTGGCTTAGACAGTTTCTCTTACTTCACTACTCAACCGTGCTAGTATAATACGGTAGAACAGTAGCACGGAAAGGTGTGCTTACTAGTTAAAGTTCCACCCGTATCAATATTTTTCGCCAATCTAAACACATTTTTTAATTTATACGTGAAGAATCAAGAAACAAAATTTAATTAAATTTGGCAGAACTTCAAAGCTACAAAGTACCCGATTTTTTGTTATAATCACATGTAAATTAATTAATAGAAGCTCGAAGTCACGGCAACAAATCCAAATTCTTTAGAAAAGTCGTTGTGCAAAGAAAAATTTCCAACCCGTAACTGTGTCCCAGAGTCACGAACAAAGAGATGTTTTTGTTTATTTTTAATTACTCCACTCTATAACAAAGGTTGAGTAGCAAAAAAGGATGTCGACCGCAGAATTTAAAGCCTTACTTTATAGATGTAATCGATTTTCAACTCTATTTCATGTGTGTTACGGTTAATTTTAGCTTTCGTAAAACAATGTTTCAGTTTCGAAAAATCTCGTAAAAGGAATACGATTGTGGTGTGTTCAGATATAATTCGAGGGAATAAAAAGTCAAAGTAACTCGGAGCAAATGTAATAGGATGTTGCAAATTATAAAATTGAATAAGTCTTGTGACGTTGGCTGTAATTTGAGTTACTAATATTAATGTGTGTATAATTATGTATATGACAGCGTGTATGTACAGATATATAATGTGACTCGAATCCACGATCAGTTTTCCGTGCTCCTTTACGATTATATTTGACTTAATTATAATCTGTCATTCAGATTTGTTATTGCATTAATTTTTACCCAATGTGTAAAAGTGTAAATTGTCTGGCATTTCAGTTCGTAACTTATATAAGTCTTAAATATCAGTTGCATTCTCCGTGAAATTTGAATTTTCTTAAACAAAATACTTGTAGGTACATTTCGTTGTTATCTGAGAAGACGATGTTTTTAACCATAAACAAGTATATATGTCTGCTACTTCACAATTTTTTTTCCAAATCACTCAAACTACTTTTCAATCGGGTTTAATAATTAGATACGAACTAACTTACTTTAAAATGGACGTAAACGACCGCTTTTTATTCTCTTTCGCATTTTTTAACATTTTATAAGTAGCTATATATACCTCACCTATAGTGGTATAAATTGTCCCAGCATAAAACATAGAATTCCAGAAGGTCCAGGTCTTATTATTTCCATTGACGTGCTTCAAATACTCCTTGAAACTCTCCTCGTACGTTGCCAAGTTCTGCTCAACAAGTGATAGAAGATCGTTGTTATCCTGTCAACAAGTTAACAGTTAAATAGTGTCTGTAGTTTACGCGACTAATATTCATTAAAATAAAATACTTTTGACGGATTTTAAGGCGAAACATACTAGTTATTTACGGTTTATTTTAACAATAGCCCGGAATTGACGGCTGTCCCTACCACGGCTGCTACAAAGCATCCGAAACGTCGAGTTGTAATTATAATAATTTGTAAAGTATAACTAATTTAAAAATCGAAAATAAATTGGAAAAATTTTTTCGACTCGGGCAGGACTTGACTTGACTTGCTCTACCAATTGAGCTACCGAGTCACTCACTTGATAGCTTAATTGGTAGAGCAACAGCACGGAACGCTGACGATGCCGGTTCAAGTCCTGCCCGAGTCGAAAAATATTTTTAAAATTTATTTTCGATTTTTAAATTATATAGCGCCTTCATGTGCAATAACATGTAAAAATAATAAAGTTTTCAAGTATAACTAATACATTTCGCGTTAAGACGTTAAAAAAGTTTTTATTAGGTTATTAGTTAAGAACTGAACGTAATAAAAGTAGGTAAGGTATCAATCTAGGTAAATTTGAGTTGTAAGGTACATATTTTGTTCTATTAATAGAGTTTAGGTTTGAATTCTAGATGTTCCGTAAAATGTTTCGGTCGAGCTTGGACATTGATCACTCACGAGCAGTAAAACAGACACAGAACTATATCTGCTTCGCGCTACAAGCCCTTCCGCAGTAGTTCCCACGAAGTGGCAAATTGTGGTCATTCGGTCATCGACCACGTATTAGATATCGCCTCGCAGGTGGTAATAATATAAATAACATACCTTTATTACTGTTTTGTCTTCCAGCAACGTTTTATGTATACTGACGGCCATCTCTCTTCTAACCATCGAGATGTTTTTGTTATATTTTTCTTCATATGGACCTGTAACAATGTTCGGAATTACAACAATCAGATTAACTACTACTACTACTTCGCTTTAGTCAATTTTTAACTGTCGCTCATTAAAATAAAATAAAGGAAAATCTGGTAGGTACTTTTAGCTACTTCAAAATGCAAGTTTTCACTGGGCCGTATAGAGCAAGATAGAGATCATAACATAACAAAATGTATATTTAATCGGTAGTTTTTTTTTAATTTAACCTTTTTTTTCGTTTACCCAGCGAGCTGAGTAAAAATTTAAAAATATCGGATTCTTAAAAAAAGTGACGAAAACCAGTTTTCCGAAATCAATAAACGTCAGTATAAAAATTGTTTCTCATGCAATTGTATAAAAAATTGTCTGTACCTTTTTTTTAGATGTAACACTTTTTTTATAAATTTGCTTAAGTAAATTAATAAGAATTTTAATAGAATCTAAATCTTACGATCAAAGAATTACAAATAAGTATTGTCCTTTTATATTTAAACATTGGAAAACAGTGCACGAATTTTCTTTACAAAAAAGAAGATAATTTTCCACCTTAAAAGGTTATATTTCTTATAATATATGTCCATGAAACTTCTTCGATGTATATTGGATAAAAAGTATAAGGGATTAAAAACGCGTAAAATATGAGCTATCTAAAATGATTCAGATAACTCCAGGCGGGATCGTTAGGAACATGACTTCTCCATTTGGCTGTTATCCTTAAAAATCGATTTTTTATAGCTCTATAAAATCAATGAGCCCTAAAGGGGTTTTAAATATGCTTCAGAAAGTGTAGCTAACAGATTTTTCTTGACGCTTTTAAATAAATCTATACTAATATAAAGAAGCTGAAGAGTCTGTTTGTTTGAACGCGCTAATCTTAAGAAGTGCTGGTTCTGATGAAAAAAAACTGTTTTGGTTGAAACATTTGTCGAGGGAAGCTTTAGGCTTTAAAACATTCCGTGGCAACTAAGGAAACAGTAAGAAATGCCAGGTCAGCTAGGAATTTGTTATAAGTAACTTATTGTTGTTATTCAATACGCTAATATTGTACCTCCATGTTTTTCCTTCCTTCACGTTCTAACATAAAAACATTAATATCACATGTTATTGCACATGAAGGCAGTATATTTTAAAATCGAAAATAATAATTTATTATTTAAGTTAAATAGTCTTTGTCCCTGAAAACACGATTCAAAAATATATATTATTTACGCATTGTCTCTTTGACAGCCCATTTTATATAGTCTACTATCTTAATTTTTTTAAGCAAATTTTCATCTATAGATAAAAATTAAACATGTTCCCTACTATAATGTTAAAGAAGAGATATGATTCAAAATTTAAAAATAAAGAATCGGCCACAAAATTGTGTTTGGCCCATATCCTATAGGACACGTAAAGCCTTACGCGCATTTAAAAAAAGCTAGAATATATATATATATACATACTTACGTCGTTGATATCCCGTAGTAATTGAAAAATTAAATTAATTATAGTATAAATTAATTAAAACTGGTAAGTTCACACACATCTTCATAAAGATTTTTCTCGGAAAATTTAGTGCAATGGACCCTGGAATACTGAGATTTTGTCATAAATAATTTATGATAACGAGATAAGAACATTTGAATTTATTACAATACTTAGATAAAAAATCTACATCTACTGGATATGTTATGTAGTATAGTAGTTAAATGTTGCTATGGCGTAGAGCAACCTTATACTAATACATACACTACAATACTAATCAACCGCAGTCTACTAAATTACTATTTTTACAATTTAATTATTTGTAAAAAGGGATTCATTTTAGGAAGTTACTAAAATATTAAGTTATCAAGGTTTTGTTTAAAAAATACTTTAAACGGTTTAAAGCGCGAAATATTTATTAATTTATTTAACTACGGCCCGATATTCCCGATGATTTGTCGCAGTCGTGGTTACGGGGTAACCTGGCCACGTATTATTTATATGTGTACGCATATGTAAGTATTCGCGTAAACTACAAACAAAATAATATTACTTTGTTGTTTTAAGCATATAAACTTTGAGTATTGTATATAGTTTACGCGAGTAATACACATTAAACTCTTTTAACGGTTTAAAACGTGAAATATATTAGTCAACTTATTTTCAATTAATTTCTCCGGTCGTCGTTACGTACGTTATACGTTAACAGATAATAGTTAAGGTTAAATGAACAAATAAATAGTTAGTTAGACCCGAGTTTACTTGATAAATTTCTAGCCAGTTTTTCGATTCTATTTTATTCTTATTTTGCTGACTTAGTGTCATACATGAGTTTCGCTCTTCATATAAATCAATTTTATCTCAACGCAATAAGCATTGAAGCATAAGTGATAAAATGCCATGAGCCACAGATCTTGTACGTCCCAATGACGGATCGCTTTAAAGACGGCAACTTTTCACCACGACAGCGTTACACGTTTCTCGCCCTCCCTATATTTTATCTTTTAAAAGCCTTTCCAAAGTCGAGTGTGCTATTAATTTTGCATATGCTATGCGAATGTTAGCTTAGTATAAAAGATCTGTTTGTGGCTTAAAAATGTTTTGTTAAACGTAATGCCAGAAAGTAGTTTCGGATTTAATCTATACTAATATTATAAATTTGATATTTTTTTAAAAGGGCTAATCCCAGGAACTACTGGTTCGAATGGAAAGATTCGTTTTATGGCGGTTAAAGAATTTGTCAAAGAAAGCACAGTTGAAAATTAGGAAAAGCGGGCAAAATTAATTATCTATTTCGGTTTCCGTTGCGTGCACCTTTTTTTACTTGACGCTATAAAGGCATACGTAAGTAAAAAAGTAAATCTTTTGTTTTTCCTTATTACATTCATAATTATGTTTTAGTTTAATTTTTGTTTGTCTTGTCTTTAGGTAAAACGATGTCTTTGTCAATAATTGTAATATGCATTTGTCATGCACTCTATTTATTCTACATTTTACTTAGGCCCGACGAGACACGTGGTGCTGGCAGATTTGACTTTGATATTATAAACACCCTCAATATTTAAAGCAGCCGAAACGTCGGGTAAACTCAAGCAATGTACAAAGTTTAAATCTATGTAATTTTTAATATAATATCCATATCATATCAATTTGTCGTCAACATGATACATTTACAAACATACAATGAAAGCGAAGCCTCGTATCCCCATAGTCAGTCAATCCAACATATTATTGTGTCCGTTTTCCGAATCAAACCAACTATTTACATATTTTCAAAAATTCCGGTAGAAATATACGTCACATTGTTTATCTCATGTTTCCACAACCAGAAATCAAACTCTAGAACGCATGTATTGAATATATGGCATTAAACATTTGGCTACTAAGAAAGGCAAACATTAAAAATTTTCAATTAAAGGTCTCAGGTCAAAGGGTAAATTTGATTTATAACTTCAATTAGTGAAAAAACAGAGGTGAATAGAGAATAACAATTTTAATTAAACACAAACCCTTTTCACGTAAGTTAGCGGTAAAGGCTGAAAAGAAAAATAACATTTCGTTAACAAAATAAATTGAATACAATCTAAAAGCTAGCGCAGAAATATAACCTCTGAAAAGCTTCTTCGATGAATTTCCTTTTTCGTTCTACGTAATATTTTGACGATATTTTTAGCAGAGCAAACAATAACAATGAAAAATGGTAGATTGATTTTAAGAATGGAACTCGTTTTTAAATAAAATCAAAATCAATGATGATAAATAAATAAGTTAATTTATTACACCGTGACCAAGGCTGCTGTAAAGCAACCGAAATATCGGGCCATAGTTAAAATAAATTCTAATCGTTTTAAACCGTTAAAAGAGGATTATTTAAATGTCTCTTACTCACATTACTACAGACAATACGAGAGTAACTCATATTAAATATTATTTGAATTTGTGATAAAGAACAATCTCCCATAAAGTATTTGATTGTTTCGAAAAAAATTACATTTTGTATAAAATTGGCAGTTCTATCTTATAGTTATAAAAATAATTAAATTACAAAATTTTCGTACTATACTATGCAAATAGCACTGGCAAAATATAAAATTTATTGTCTAAAGTGAGTTGTCACAAACTTCTGTCACGAATAATTCCACCAAACTGCCAAATATGTAAAATAAAATAAGAATGAACATGAAGATATAACTATAATGTCCATTATGTTATAATAAAAACATGTAGCGAGAATTACCAAAGGCCGAATCCACATTTCAAGATCCGAAGAAACTAAACATAAAAATGCCAAGTTAGTAAAATTATTTAATTTCGACTTTCGTGGCTTTGAAATGACTTGCGAAAGTGCTTAAGAACTTTTGAACGAATTAGGTCTTAATTTGCTCCAAATCTTATTAATTTGAGATAAAAAGTTTTGTAATTTAGACCCTGTACGCTGGATTGTGGGTCTTTCGGATTGTAAAATGCTCAATTCCGTTTTCCCTATATAGAGGATGGGGTAGGTTCTGTGTCCCTTGCACTCTTTTATGTTTTACAAGTAAGATTAAGGTGGTAAATTATAGAACATTATAATTAACTACCAACTTTTGCGTAAAAATATATTGTAATTTTAATAAAAATGTAAAATGAAAATGGGCATTGACAGATTTTTATTAATACGGCGAATCTGTGTTAATTTCAATATTTTCCACAAAATCCATTTATATTTTACTTTTACGTTGTTACGCTGATAACACGTCACTTATCACTATTTTTAGTATTAAACTAACTTAATACAGACAGGACTCGAAACGTAGACCCTCCAACAAATACTTGATTGCTGTATTGAAGTACTACGCCACGTCTAGTGACCGGAGTTTCTCAATTTTGTGTTTACAATCGTGGATTCGAATCCCGCCTGTGCATATATTTTTTTATTATAATAGTTAAGTTTTAATTAGAACTATGTCCTATAGTAAATATATTAATAGAATTACATTTTAAATATTCATTTGTTTCAGGGTACAAGGAGCAAGACATATGTTCAGGGCGCAGAGCGACT